TAGAAGAAGATACGTATATAACCTAATAATAGAAGAAGATACGTAAAAAACAGCGAAATATTAAAAAAAAATCTTGTTTAATTAATATGAACATATTTGTTTTATTGCTGCCGAGAATGATGTGACTTTATTATTTTCTTAAATCTAATTTATTTTAGATTATAAAAACTTAAAAGAATAACAATTGTTGTTTTCCTTAGTACAAGTGTTACATGTAACTCAAATTTTTATCACTGCAATAGACAATTACTAGTAATTAATTTTTTTATTTTTTCCCAATGGCATAAGGAATAAAAACAAAAATACCAGGTTATTTTCATACTTTCTTTTTTTTTTGTTTTTTCTTTGTTACACAGAAACACAAAGACATTTTCACAAAATACAAAAACTATTAATTGCTGTAAAATCAAAATAAATGGAAGAGCAATAAATTTTTAAAATACGAAAAGGATTTTTTATATTAAAAGTTTTTTTTATAACTATTTGGTTAACAAATATTTTTATTATTGAAAATTATTTTTTAAGAACATGAAATCAAATAATGAATTATCTTTGAATTCACACACGCACACACATACACACACACACACACAAGCACAGAAACACAAAGACAATTTTATGGGGGATTGTGGGGACGCAAAGTGGGGCAGAAGAGCTTTAAAACAGGACAAAACTAATTTTTTGTTTGTTTTGGATTTTTAATAAATACTTTATGGGCACTAGTTAGACTTAGAAAAAGGTTTTCCATAGTTTTTTAAACATTTATTTACAAAGTTTTTTTAGAAACATGTAAGTGATAATATTTAAAAGAAAAAAATCAAAAGCTTGAATAAAGAATTAATATTAAAACGTTTTCTAAACGATTCACTAAAATAAATTACAGTTTTTCGAATTTAATGTAAAAAGTCACTCAAGAAAGTTACTCAAGACAAAAAAGTTACTCAAGAACGCTATAAGTTTTATTGCCTTTAATTTGCTAAAAACTTATCTTACAAAACAAAAATAAAAAATGTGATTAGTTCAAGAGTTCATTACCTAACCCTTATCCTATTCCTAACCCTAGCTCTAAAGCCTAAACCTTATCCTAACCTGGTTTTGTTTCCTGGTTTCTACTGACACATTCCCCCTAATTCACACAAAATTGGTGCAAAAAAATATAACAAGTTTTACAGGCTGTAGTCATCAGCAATTTCATTAAAAAAAAAAATTTGAAACTGTATCAGAGCGAGGACAAAAATCGCATTAAAACAAAAATAATAATAATAAAATATTTTAAATGCACTTTTTAAAAGATCTATTAACCTATATTTTTAGCACTTTGAAAATATTTTTTTATTACTAAAAGATAGCGGCAAACCTAAAATTGATGAATGTATGAAAAAAATTTGATACTTATAACAAACTTCAGTTTTAGCACTATAAAAACAAAGTAGTACTAATAAATCGAGTTATTTTTGAAACAAAAGAATTGAGCTAGAGTATGGGTTCTACAGCATTAAATGTCAATCCTAACTTAAAAAAAACGCGTTGATAAGATGGACCGGAGACTATTTTATTTTAGACCACCAATTTTCGTTTTATAACGTCTTTTTTTCGTTTTTGTCGTATGCCTAGTTTTTAAGCATTTCTGCCCCACTGTCGAGCGGGGTAAGTGTGACACCTTCTAAAGAAGATGATTTTCAAGTTACAGTCCGTTGTTTGAGGAACACTATTAGCTAGACGTGTATTCAAGTGATTTCAGTTGGGTGAATTTTAGTTAGAAGAAACTTTTTTTTTTAAAAGCCAGGACTAGGGTTTGGGTTTCCGGTTCTTTTTATGGATTCACATCCCCCGCCCACCCATTACTTCCCTCTTTTTTATTATTTCAAACACGCACAAGAAAAAACATAAAAACTAATAAATTTGCTATATAACAATATAAATAATCACCGTTTTATTATAAATATTTAATTTGTATTAACGATCTTCCATAATCCTTAAAAAACTCGATGCAAAAACGTTTGCTGATGACAAAAATTATCAGCTAAAACAAAATTTTTGTTTTAGCTGATGGCTAAAACAAAAATTTTGTTTTCAGCAAAAATTTTGTTTTCAGCAAAAGTTTTGTTTTCAGCAAAGTTTTTGTTAAAAAAAGTTTTGTTTTCTAATCTGTGAACAACAATCTTAAAAACCTTAACATCTGGTTTAAAGTAAACAAATTTTCATTAGATACAAAGAAAACAAAACACATCTTGTTTTATTCCTAAAAACAAATAATATACCAAGCATGCCACCATTACTAGAAACTGATTATTTAAACATCAAGCAAACATTTTTTGAAAATCTCACAAAAATAGAATCAGTGAAAAAATACGAAAAAGTATAAGTATTCTTTTTAAATTTAAAAATAAAAGAACACTTTCCTAAGAGAATCTAAACATTCTCTAATTTTCTTTAATACAATGTTATCTAACATATGATAATATTGCATGGGGATGTATAAACTTTAAACTATATTCTCTATATATACACCAAAAATTGATTTTATGATAAAAAGAAATTCACTCATGACGATCCTTTACATTAAAGCTTGAATACTTATCAAGTTAACATCTAACAAAATATTTTATTTATGTTTGATTATAACCTCGAACTTGTCTCAACTTATGTTACGAATAACTTTTTTCACATCAATACCAGCAGATTGATCACACGATGAGCTAGAAACTTCATATTGACCTTCATATAAAGTTCTAAAGATTTTCGCTTATACACCGTAGCCCATACTTGAATAAAAAAATAATATCTCAAATTATTGAAATTACAAAATAGTCTTATTGTAATAAAGTAAAAATCTCATAATTAACGAAAACAATTTTATCGATTTGTATTAAACGTAAAAGATAATAATAATAAAAATAGAAAAAAAAAATTAATGACTACCGGTAGGCATGCGTCGCCCCTGAGACGTCTAAACGATGTCCCAAGGACAAAGCGTACCTACTGGGTACTACTATTTACAAGTTAACAATGAGGTAGTTGTTAACTTGTAAATAAACTTGTAGAGAACCAAAAGAAGTCTTTTCATTGGGAATCTTTAGAATTTAAAATGAACTTATAACTAATTAAGCAATTTTAGAAAACACACATAAGCATTTTGGGGTCTACTTTACAGTGCATGAGGTACCTATGGTATGAGTACCTACTGGGTACTACTATGGTAGGTAGTATATATATATAGTATGGTAGTACTGGGTACCTATGGTATGAGTACCTACTGGGTACTACTATTTACAAGTTAACAACTACCTCATGCACTGTAAAGTAGACCCCAAAATGCTTATGTGTGTTTTCTAAAATTGCTTAATTAGTTATAAGTTCATTTTAAATTCTAAAGATTCCCAATGAAAAGACTTCTTTTGGTTCTCTACAAGTTTATTTACAACTAGATAATTTTTTTTTAATTTTATATATATATTTTTGCAACGAAAACAACAAGCAAGTCCCAAGCAGCCTTCAAACAATTTTCAATTGGCTCAATTTTTCAAAAGAGCCGACGGAACGATTGTGCTTCATAGATAACTCATGATTAGCTGAAACACTATACATTTTTTTCCAATTGCTACTTTTTACAATTGTGAGCTTGATTTTTAGAACTTTTTCCAATTGCTACTTTTTACAATTGTGAGCTTGACTTTTAGAAAAATTGAAAGTAAAAACAAAAAACAGCAATTTTATGGATTGAATAAACAAGCTAACAACGATCTGAGCATTCACCATATTGTAAATTTCCTAAAAATAATCTCCAAAAGAAAAATGAAAATAAAAAAGTAGAATATTTAGGAATGTATGAACAATCTATGTATGTATGTATGCACACATACATGCATACATACATACATACATACATACATACATACATACATACATACATACATACATACATACATACATACATACATACATACATACATACATACATACATACATACATACATATATACATACATTCATACATACATACATACATACATACATACACCCATACATACATACATACATACATACATACATACATACATACATACATACATACATACATACATACATACATACATACATACATACATACATACATACATACAAACATACACTAATTATCAACAATTTATCATAAATCATATGTTTTAAATAAACTGTTCTTGTCTGATATGTTTGGTGTACTCGTTTAAACACTTAAAGCTACATCAAAGTTACTAATTTTATTACAAAAACACAAGAACAAAGAAAGTCTCTACTCAAACAACATACTAATATTTGAGGAGCCCGATTGCAAAACACACTAAGTCCGAGTAAACTATTTTTAAGAAAACAGTGTCAAAATAATTTACTCTTAGTTGAGCATTAACAGAAATTGATAATATCTTTTTTCGATTTGAGGGCTTAACCTTTTTTTAATAGGTCTAATATTTTATTAGATGATAGACTTTAGTATATAGAATGTGGAAATAAAGTTAAGTCAACGTTTTTTATTTGGCTTAGCGTGTTTCGCAGATGGGCTCCTCATTTAATGTATATATATACTTTCAAGTCGTTTATATGTATCCTTCTTTGTAACAAAGAATGAGTTTAATTATTGAGTGTAATAGTTACTTAACGATAAAACTATTGAGCATAATAAAATATTAAACAGTTATTTTTTGTATTTTGAAATACTTTGAAAAAAAAATATTTTCTAACAATATTTTGAATAAATAAAGTCTATTTTTTTTTAGAATATAAATATTTCGTTTGATAAAATATGTATTGTTTAAAACACTTCAAATTTCATTTTCAACAATTTTTTTTTCTAAAAATTATATATATAAAAATCCAAATTAAAGAATTTTTCTTGTAAATTGAACAGCAAAATATATGTATGCAAGACATATATTTAAACTTAAACCTGTTTATTGCTGAATAAATTCCTTTAAGTTTAATTTTTTAAGTCTTATAAATAAATAAAAATATTGTTTTTGTAGAATACAGGTTGTGAAAAAGGTTTATGCTTGAACAATTCAACATGTATACCAAACTATAATGACGACACCAGCTCTTGTAAATGTGTTTCTACAAACTTTGATGGAAATTTTTGTGAACGAGGTTGAGTATTTTTTTTTTTAAGTTTTTAATTTGGTCACTTTAATTGCAATTGCATTATGAGTAGAAATATATAACATTAATATTTTAATAAGATTTGTTAACAGTTTTACTTTCAACAAAGTTACAAGCAACAACTTTTTTTATTGAAAGCTAACAGAAGAAGTGAGCCAAAGATTGGTCTAAAAAGCTTTAAATTGTAGCCAGGAAAAAAATGAAGACGAAAAAAAAACTTGAAGCATTTATTTGCAAAGAAAAGAACTATGTGATTAGAAAACAAATATTTGAGCATGAATGAAGAATAAATGGATGCGGTATAGCTGGAACAAAAAAAATAGCAAAAAAAAAATTAAATGACATTGAATTTAACAAAGCAGCTAAATCAGATTCAACTACATTAACAGTGCAATTTTGAACCTTGTCTAAAAGATAAAAGAGCATTATAAAAACTAGCCAAACGTAAAAACATCCATATCAGACAAACAAAAAAATAGACTAGAACAGTAGAGAAAGGATTCAGGAGTTAAACAATTAAGTTAGAGATAAAAGAAAAAGAGCCTATGATTTGCTTATATACATTTTATAAAAGATCAGTAATGAAAAATTATCAGAGTAGACGTCAAGTCGAGAAATTAGTAAGAGTCATTTATCAATTAATATCATTAGGCCAATTTAGCAAAGCATCAACAAGGAATATTATCAAAATAGCAACAAATATTAGCTATAATATACTGAGTTTATAATTTTTTTCATTCAAAATTTTTTTTAGGTGCATTTCAGAGAACTAATGATCCTTTAAGGAACATTATCCTTATCCTTAAGAGAATTTAACTAGAAAGTTCTCGTTCTCTTTCTTACCGATGGTGCGCAATATATCCGAGCTAGCTACAAACCCTGGATTGAAAATGTAGTACTAGAGTTACCTTGTAAAAAAATACGCTTGTCCAACATGGGTTTTATGCGGATTCCCATGAATCTTACATAGAACCTAAGTAACACACGTGTTTGTTTTTTCAATAGGCGAACCTATTTCGTTGCAGTATGTACGCAGAAATGAGAGATGGGCTACCCATAAACTAATTATAATATGATGAATATATATATATATATATATATATATATATATATATATATATATATATATATATATATATATATATATATATATATATATATATATATATATATAATTAAAAGTTTTACAACGTAATTACATATTATTATTGCTTTTTTAAAAAATCCCTATCGCCCTAACTTTTTTGAGCGGCAGTGTATATTAACTAACTTGATTATTTTTCAAGCTATTAATGATTATTATATAATATAAATGAACTATAAAGTACTCTAAACATAATCATTGATATATACAAACGATATTAAGGACTACTCTTGGTAATAATGACAAGGAAATCAAGGGACATAAGCTACCAAAAAAAGAGCAAGTAATTCTTTGCCTTTAATGATGCATTATCTCTTACAATTGATAATGTGCTGAAGCACAATATGAAGGCAAATATTTCCCCAATAGGTAGAATAAACAGCATTGGCAAAGTAGTCAGGCAAGCTCATGATGAACTTATAGAATTAAAGAATTACTACAAAAATCAAAGACAACTAGATAACCTCATAAATTTTATGTCAGAATCTGAATGTTATTGCCTTTATTGGGAGAAACAACATTAGTAATACAAAGATGAACTCATTAGTACATTTACTTATATCTGAAAGAGGAAGAAGTGTTTCAAAAATAGTTCCAGTTCAGCCCACTGATATTGAGCATTTGTACTGCCCCATATCAGCAAACAATTGAAAGAAAAAGGGAATTCGTCTCTAAAAATGGTTCTGCATTGGAACAGACAACTGATGGCTACCCTGGACTCCAAAGAAACCGATGATTGTCTACCTGTTTTAGTATGCGGAATTAATGGAACTAAACTTCATAATGTACCACCCATTCCTAATTCAACAACAAAAGTTGATCTAAAACATGGTTTCGTTGTCTCTGCTGCAACAAAAAATATACTCATAGATTGGAAATACGACAAAAACACCTTAGGCATGGTCTTTGACACGACATCCTCAAATACAGTTTAGACTTAAACAAAGCAATGATTTATTCAATTTAGTTATATGTTAATAGTTTATTAAATTTCAAATCAATAATTCATTTTTGCACAAACTCTATTGTAGTGTTTGTCTTGTCAATAATACTATTGTAGTATGTGTCTGCATCCAGGGAAAGTTAGAACATCCCCTGTTCTAGTTAGCATACCACAGGCAAGTAGGAGAAGTCATACTTTGCGACTGTTTGAGTTCATTAAATATAGAGGCTTCATCCGGTCCATATATTCAATTTTTTACAAAGTAGACCTAATGTTTCTCTTAGATTTTTAAAAATATTTAAAGATTGTTTTAATTGATTAAGTAGACTCAAGTGACTTAAAAAGACTCAAGTAGCTTTAACTAACAAAATGATTAAATTTTTTTTGTAGATTCAAGAACCATTACTTAAAACTTTCACCAATTATAAAGCAAAGTTTTACTATCCTGAACTTCCTTAAGCAACTGAAAAGGAACGAGAAAACTTAAAAAAGTACTTCCATGAATTCCAAACATTAGATTTTGCTCGAGGGAATTACCAAGAAATTAGTAAATTCAGTGTATTATCAGTTACAAAAGAATCCAAACCTCGGATGTTTAGCGTAAACCACACCGGAGTTTTGCACAAAGCATGACGAGTGGCAAAACTTCTGTACACTATGAAAAAAGTCCTATTTTCCACAAAGATAATTAAGCAGTCTCAAAGTTCAGAAGTTGCAACTAAAATTTTTTTACTTGTCTTCGGCAATGGTGGATTACATGCCCGCATCAGTTGCAGCTGATGCTCCAGTCAACGATTTAAATTTAGTCAAAATTATAAAATAATTTGAATACAATGATTCTGTTTTTGCTGACAAGGAAATAAAAACTCTTAGCAGACATAGTTTGTATATAAATGAAGATCTTTTTTTATTGGCACATTTTCACAAATGGCATCTGATAAAGAAAAAAAATACGAGACTGCAGCTCCTCCAATTTCAAAGTTGGAGTGCTGGAAGTATTTAGAATTGTGTAGGAGCATCCTTTGGTCTAACTTTAAGCTAATCAATAACTTGGAAAAAGGCAGAATCAACTTTATTGTTGTAGTAAGAAGTATCAATTAGTTTTCTTTGAATTTGTTTTTACCTATGCGAAATAGACAAACAAATTTTACCGGCAAAATAAACAAACAAATAGTCAAAGCGTTAAAATGAAAAAGCGAGCATAAGTCAGATTCAGAGACTATGCACAAACCAAGGAGTGAATGTAAATGGTTAGGATTGTCTATAAAAAACTACAATGTTAACATAGAGTGCTACCGAGGTCAGTTGTAATACTTAAGCTGTACGGTTTAGTATACCTATTTACTTTTTTGTGTGAACTTTTCTTGAACTAAATTGAATGCTATACCACATGTATTTTATGACTTATGTTGATTAGAAAGTTTTTATTTTTACCTGGTTTTTTCAGTGTTGCTAAATAGCAATCCATTATCAAATGGGTGCTGATTTTGATCAATGACGTCAACCTTTTTATCTATCTAGTGAGAACATGTAACCAGTCGTTTATAGTATAATAAAACATACAAATAATATTATTAAATAAAAAATAAACCATTTCTTTTTCTTATTTATTGTTTTACTTTTTTCCAACTTGTATTACGGCTTCGCCTAAAAAAAAATTGCTAATACAATATACTTTACAGTAAACTTTAATGAAAACTATTCGGTAAACTATATGCTAATTATTTAGTATACCGTGTACTAGCAATCCATTTTGTGACGGTTTTGAATTATGCTTAACGTGCTTTCTAACAGCACTGTAATCAACCAAAAAATAGTTAGAACCCAAAAAGAGATCAGATACACGTACTTAACAGACACTACACTTGACCTTTATTATTAGTTTGTATGGTAATCTACCATATTAGTTAAATTCATTTTTTTGATATAATTTTTTTAAATTTTTATTATTTGGTAGTTTAATCTAAAGTATCCATGTTGATAGCTATAAAGCTACGATATGTATCTATCTAATAGATACTTGACGTTATGTTATATTTAGCTATAAAAATAAAACAGTAATATTAGCTTTATAGTCAAAACAAACGTTTTCTCATTGATTTATAGAGATGTTTTAGCAAGCTACAAAAATACAATATACTATCAACATACTGTTTCAAATTTGCTAACTAAAAGCTCGCGATATGTATATACATATTTATATACTTATCGCTTTCGCAACAGGTGGCAATAATCTAATAGTAGCTGTAGAACTGTCGTTATTTAGTAGCTAGAGAAAAAGCTACAATATGTGACTATCAACCAATCCTATTAACATCGCTGGCTTGAAATCCAATATGTAGTCATCAACTACCTTCAGATTTGACGTTATGACGTAGTTAGCTACACACCTACAATCTGTAGAATCAATATCTCGTAACAATATAGCTAGCTAAAAACCTGGTAATTAAAGCCATCGACTAGCTAAAGATTTATCGTTATGTTGTAGCCAATTACAATGCTACAATATGTAGCTAACGAATTAATGTAAGAACATTGATAGCTACAAAACTGCTATATCTAGTAGGGTTGTTCACGACTGTTTTCAATTAAAAAAAAAGTTTTCGAAACTCTATTTTCGTTTCGGTAAGTTCGAAATAATTTAAAGTAATTAATTTTGCATTGAAACAATTTTTTACTATCGAAATCGTAATATTTGCTTCAAAATGTTTTTGTGATTTCGAAATTCTTAAAATATTATCGAAATATTTTTTTACTTTCGAAAATTTAAATTTGCTCCAAAATATATTTGCGATTTCAAAAATCGGCAAATATTACCGAAAAATTTTTTTACTTTCGAAATTGTAAAATATGCTTCGAAATGTTTTTTTGATATCGATATTCTGAAAAAATTACCGAAAA